CTAGATTTACAATACCTAGCGGAAATATTTTGAACAAAAACCCTTTATCCTTCGTTACTTAATATAGCTTTTTATTAATCACAAAGGATAAAAATAATTGATTATCCTTTTAAACGCAGCGACCGTAAAGTAAAAACTCATCAACGAGAAATAGCTACGCATGCATTAACATATTTTAACACTTCATATATTGTACCGTTCATTTTAGTGCATTCTACGGTCAACTGATTGCATATTTAAAAAAATGGTTGCCCTTAGCAACTGGTCAAATTTTGTGATTTTTATGAACACTTCAGATTCCTATTTTTTATACGAAAATTATTTTTGAATAAAATTTATATTACACTTATGTATATGAACGTTGTAAACTGATTTTGAATGAAATTTATAATACAATTAAACTATAAACCGTTTTTTTTATTGTTTGGGCAACCGTTTACGCTCAAAATTTTTGAGATAAAGTCGTTATAAGATAGAATAAACCGAAAGCTTTTGTTTAGACCCGGGGTTCTCGATTCGATTTTCAGCCGTTTTTAAGTTATGACGCAAGAGCGATTTTAAACCCTAAATTGCGAAAGTCAATAAAAACGTTAGAACTTTTTACCAATTGATCCGTCTCGTCGCGCCGATTAAGAAAATATATAGTTTTATGGGTTTATCTTTTACCGTTTTCGAGTAATTCGAGTTTAAAGTCACCGGAAGTGACGTCACTGAAATTTCAAAATCGATTTTTTTCCGTTTTTTAACCGAATATACTCGTGTTTGGTATCGTTGTAAAGCATTTTACCACACCTGTTACCGGACGCTATTCAAAAAGCCATTAGACCGGAACTGAAATCACTGAAGCGTAAAAATGTGTTTTCTGTACCACGCCTGGACCGAACTAAGGCGTGTTTGGTATCAAATGAAATATCTTAAGCCGCTCTTTATGAATACGGACTAAAATCGAAATTAAAATCACTCATGCATAAAAATCATTAAAATAACTAAAATAAGCTTACCCCCAGTATTTACTCCTTGCCTATCAAACTATTTATGACGAGTTACTATAGCCTATCGTTTTCGGTTCAGTTACGACAGGTTTAAACCGGTATTTCTATTTTTGATCAGTCAATCAAATTGAAGAACGATGACGTTTAAAAATAGACAGCCTCGTTTTGAACCAATGAAAAGTGGAGAAGCATGACTGGATAAATTTTGACATTATGTATCTAAAACCGCCTTTTTGTCTTTTATGCAACACTTTACGATATACATTTTCAAGATATTTGTTTCATTTGATAGACCTGACCAAATGCTTCAAAATAAACCCAAGGTTCTCGATTAGATTTTCAGCCGTTCTCGAGTTATGGCCCTTAAGCGGTTTTTAAACCATTTTTTAAAAATTCATCAAACCCTTAGATTTATGTAACAATGGAAAGATCTCTGCGAGAAGATACAGAAAATGTGTTATTATATGGATCTATCTTTTACCGTTTCTGAGATAGGAGAGTTTGAATATGGCAGACAAAATCACTCATGCGGTAAAACGCGCATAACTTTTTCGTTTATGAACGAAACATAGTCGTGTTTGGTATCAAATTGAAGGTCTTGACGAGTACATTTTAGTCAGGCGATCAAACCGGATGTCAAGTCATTCGTGCGTGAAATTAATTTTTTTCTCCTCAACCAACGGACCGATCTTATCATTACCTGTATCGAACGAAAGGTATTACTCACTAGATTCAGAAAATGTATACTTTTGTATCGCTAACTCGGATAAACGCCGAGAAATGAAGTAAAATCGCTCAAGCGTAAAATGTTGATTTACGCCTTCCATAGTCAATATAATCCGGTCATGTTTGGTATCGTACGAAATGTTTTAAGGCGCTCTTTATGAATACGGACTAAAAATCTCTAGTGCATAAACGCTCTATTTCTATGAAACATTCTTCATTGAAAACACTGTACTTGAAATATAAACTCAACTTACTGCGTAATGATGTTTAGTCAACAACGTTCAAACACCAAATGACTGAAGTCACCACTGTGATACATTATACGCATGCGCTGATATAAATTTAGAAATGACATTGTCCAATCTAAAAGCAGTTTCTCTTTTCTAACGGGCTGAATGTAACCAATCAGACAAACGGATTATTGACCGATGATTTTGGTCCCGTCACTATCAATAACATAAATAGATGAATAACGTCATGCCAAAAATAGCAGCCAATCAGTTTTTAATACGTGTGTATAGAAAAGAATATGTTTTCTGCGTATATTTTATAAATAAACATGTAAGTCTGGAAACTGGATCTGTCTTCTATTTATATCTTGCTCCTCCACCATCACCGCCGCCACCGCCACCACCACCACCACCGCCGCCGCCGGTCCAGGCGTGGTACAGAAAACACGTTTTTACGCTTCAGTGATTTCAGTTCCGGTCCAATTGGTCCGGGCTATTTGAATTACGTCCGGTAACAGGTGTGGTAAAATGCTTTACAACGATACCAAACACGAGTATATTCGGTAAAGAAATTACGGAAATAAATCGATTTTGAAATTTCCATGACGTCACTTCCGGTGCCTTTAAACTCGAATTACTCGAAAACGGTAAAAGATAAACCCATAAAACTATATATTTTCTTAATCAACGCGACGAGACGGATCGATTGGTAAAAAGTTCTAACGTTTTTATTGACTTTCGCAATTTAGGGTTTAAAACCGCTCTTGCGTCATAACTTAAAAACGGCTGAAAATCGAATCGAAAACCCGGGGTCTAAACAAAAGCTTTCGGTTTATTCTATCTTATAACGACTTTATCTCAAAAATTTTGAGCGTAAACGGTTGCCCAAACAATAAAAAACCGGTTTATAGTTTAATTGTAATATAAATTTCATTCAAAATCAGTTTACAACGTTCGTATACATAAGTGTATTATAAATTTCATTCAGAAAAATTTATCGTATAAAAAATAGGAATCTGAAGTGTTCATAAAAATCACAAAATTTGACCAGTTGCTGAAGGGCAACCGTTTTTAAAATATGCAATCAGTTGACCGTAGAATGCACTTAAAAGGAACGGTACAATATATGAAGTGTTAAAATATGTTAATGCATGCGTAGCTATTTCTCGTTGATGAGTTTTTACTTGACGGTCGCTGCGTTTAAAAGGATAATAAATTCTTTATATCTTTTGTGATTAATTAAAAGCTATATTAAGTATCGAAGTATATAGCGTTTTTGTTCAAAATAGTTCCGCTAGGTATTGTAAATCTAGACTGAGCGGCGACTGTACTTAATGCCTTTTGCTTTTATTAACACCCGTGTGATAAAATAGCTCCTGGTGATTGTGAAATACCGCGACTAAAAATAGATCGGCACATGCGCAGTCTACAAGGACGCAACGCCATGACAGTCATTTCCTTACTAGATGTTGGAGAGTAAACAAGTAATATTTTACAAATGTATAAATATTATTTTGAACATATTCAAAAAACTATTTTTTATAATTTATAACTTATAACTTATAATGTTAAGCACGTATCTATTTACAAACATTTCTTTTATCTGTAATGATAGTAATTATCTGTCCGTCTAGGGCCGAGGACCTGACCTACAATGTCAGCGATTCAAGCCCTAGATCGGGTATACGAGTCAGCTCCGTATACTTCCGGGAGATTAAAAATAGATTTCTAAAAATAGTCGGATGATCACATTATAAAAATAGAACGATGATGTCATTCTATATATAGAATTCAATATGGCAACGCGCATGCGCAGTTGTGACGCCAAAGAGACGCCTATACTACTAACTGTTATGGGTATTACAATGGCATAGGCGGACAAAATATCTTAAATTCTACAGCATTCAACGGAATAACTTTTCCCTTCAAGCTGATTTAAAATCTATTGTTTTACGCCAAAAAATGTTTAAAAAATGAAAGGGAAATTGTCAATTCTGTGTACAATGTAACGTTTAGTAACGTTCAGTTAAGCCGCATTTAAGCGGCCTAAAAAATTCCTGAAAGAAATTGTTGATGTTTTTTTATGAAACGTCCTTTTAAATGTATACTCAGTTTAATTGACTAAAATTCTTAATATATATACATATATATTGTAAAAACTTAGTTACTGTCAGTATTGTGAGAGTGATGTTCCCTTTTTCATGCTTATATAACACATAACTTTTAAAGTCCTTAAAAATATATACATATGTATTGTAAAGTAAAATTTTTAACAGAAATTATGTATTTGGATTTAATATTCTGTTTCTGGCATACATACTTTAACAGTCCTTTGTCACTGATCAATGAACATTATATTTCGAAGTTTTCTTTGAAAACTGAATGACATATATGCTGACAGGTGTCGGCGCAATAAATTGGAGCATAAAAAAGTTATTTGACCTATTTTGTTTTATACAAATGTACTTTGTATATATAACATATTTCTATAGGACTTCAACAATTATGTGTTATATGAAATGAAAAAGAAGAAATTATTCCCATAAAAGTGACAGTAACCAAATATTTTTTTTCTATATATTATAGAAATAACTTTATTATATTTCTAGAAATATGATTTTTATGTCAAAAGCCCGATCGGGCATTTTGCTACTTTTTTGCTCTTTTGAAAGAACCCAATTAGACACGTCTTTGATGAGTGTGATTAAGATATCACAGTTTTAAATATATGGCAGTAGATTGATATAACAATTGTTGCTGTTGTTTGTTGTTGTTTTTTCTTGGGGGGGGTCTCAAAAATTAGAGTATATTAAGTAAAATGAGTGACAATGACACCATAACATCAATAAATAACACACCACTATCCATTTTCTTTAAGCGCTTTTGTTTTCTATAAAATTTAAATAGTTAAACAACAAGTTAATAGATCTACATGGTAGCTTCCTTTTTTTGCACATCAAGTTATTCGCTAATTAATGTTAGTATTTTCAGGCATGTTTAAAATTATTGCCTACAAGTCATCTTTAAAATATAAATTACATAGAAACAATCAAAAGTTTGGAAATAACATTTATTCTCACTAAATCAGACCAGGATTCATTCATATCCGCCGGAACATCATTTTGGAGACTTTTAGTGATTCCCAGCTTTTGAATGAGTAGTATACCATCCCACCTTGCGACTCGACAGGTCGTTGTGTACCAGGAGTAACATATTCACCATTTAGATTTGCTAGAGCACAACTGTTATACCACCATCCACCATGGTCGGTCATAGCGCAATTTCTGCTGGTTTCATCACGATCCATGTCGAAAGTTGAAAAACGGTTACCATTGTGATATGATATACCATAGTCATCGCCTGTTTTTGAAAACAAAACAAAATATGTAAGTCAGATTACCACATTTTGCTAATTTTGACATTATTAATTTCTTGTTAATGTTAATGATGTTATAAAATGGCTCCGTTATTATACAGCTTGAACTATCTTTGTATATACTGTTAACAACCATTTAAATTTAAAATCGACGACGACAATGAATACCTGCAGTTCCCACACCCTGGTCGATATGAAGAGTATAATACGGCATTTCACCGAGTCTAAAATTCTGAAATGTTTCGTATACAGATGTTCCGTCAGCTGCCGTCAGATCCAGCCTCAACTCTGTTTTTCCTCGGGAAACCATTTCATAGATGTTTTCAAGGCCTGTATTAAAAAAGTTTCTTTCTCAGAATAATCTGATAAATGGAAGCTCATATTTATACCTGTTTGACTAAGAGAATACTTAATACAAGTATTCTTTAAACATGTTCATGTTTGTGAGGTCATCTTTTGTTGTATCGTTATTATACTGATAGATTAAGGAACTATCCTATATTCACTAAATAAGTATCCCACAATTTAAATTTTACATCCAGTGTTTATCTCAAAATAATTCGTGAGTAATTTCTTCGTACTTGTACTTGCAGATCCTAATTTGTAATTTCTCAGTGTGGGACATTATAGAAATGTACCGATACATTAAATTAACACTGCAGCTATTAATTATAATAACGATATATACTTAGTTGAAAAATTGAATTTGAACATTTTCGAAAGTTAGGGTAATTATTGTTTGTATTATAGAAGAGTTCCAATAATTTGTTTGAATTAAATATTAGGACTTCAACTGGGAACTCACTGATTAATTTATTAGTAACGAAATATCACTTATTTATTGGTCAGCTAAAAGTGACGCTTCATTCATACTAAGTTCAGAAACACGAAATCTTTTACATAACTTTATATATGATTTATCTCAGAAGAATATTTTGTAAGCAGTCGTGAATTGTTTTATAGAAACAAAAGAAACAGCCGATTTGTACGATTAAGATAATGAAAAACTGTGAACATTAAATCATTATTATCATTTAAAGAAAAAGATCACTGATAATGTTAAGATATTTCTATACGAAATACGACTGGCACGGTCAATGGGCCGTAACCCTGCTTTTATCTACATATATTCAACTCCCACTCGAAAAATAAAACAATTTAAAGTGTCCAATAAGTGAACACTGGAGGCAAGTAATGTTCAATATCTGCACTGTTTGTTGTTAGGACAATAAAAACATGTTTTAAGTAGGAGAAATTCCTCAATCTGCCGATTCTCTAACAAAAAAAACACTCACGGAGTTTCTCCTTGACTAAATATAATTTAAATCAGACAGACAAATAAATATGTGCAAAAACCTAAAGAAAGATTATTAATTTTGTCAAAATGTAATTATTAAAATAAAAACAAGTATATACATGATTTGACCCGCGACACGACAAACCAACATAATGGGTTTGTGACCAGCATGGATCCATACAAGCCTGCGCATCCACGCAGTCTGATCAGGATCGATGCTGTTCGCTATCAGTTTCACTACTTGTTATAGGGTTTGTAAGCTAACAGCATGAATCCTACAGACTGCGCGGATGGGCAGGCTGGTCTGGATCCATGCTGGTCGCAAACGCGTTATGTTGGTTTTGTCTTGACACGGCTCATTTGTTCTATACTTGCTACATTTTATTCATGGAGAGTGGGTATTTATCTAAGATAAATGTATTTTTCTTCATGGATTATCAAGATAACTCTTTGGATAAACGATAAACAATGAGTCTATGTTAAACCTATTTAATGCATTATAAAGAAATACAATCTCATTTAGAAAATATAGTTTGAAGTTTTTGGCTGCAAAAAAACTGAACGTTTTTATGTATTTAATTTCTATAGACAGCTAATCAGTAAGATATTATTAGTTATCGTAATGAATAAACAATAGTTCTATGCAATTTTGAATTTTTAAATGCAATCTATCAATCTTGTGTATGTGTACTGTTAATGTCTGTCCATCTTGGGAACATGAATACAAATGTACAATGTACCTTCAATACTGGTTTGCAATCTTATTTTTTAACAAACTGAGCTATACACGTGTATGTATTCTACATTTGAGACAGTCTGCATTCTTATTTTATAGGTATGACCGATATATTGATACGAACTTATTGACGGTTGGCTTTATACATAAGCTACGGTGCCGCTCAAGCGGATGCAATCATTTTAAAGGGCAACACTGAGCGACCTCTGTCCTAAGAATGAAATGTTTATATACATTGGTTCCCGGTTTTACATTATGATAACAGCAACATTATAATAAAGACGATATAGTTATAACGTTTACTTTACATTGAGAATGACGATTTCATGTCTCTTTGTGAGTTAAATTTGTTTATGACAATAACACAAGTCTGGCAGAGCACAATTTGTATTGTAAATTTCATTTTGGGAAATTAACTGCACATTCACAAGTCATAAAATAAAACAAAGATCATGACAAAAACATGTAAAAGTAAGATGTTGTTAAAATTAGAATGTTATCATATTATTCTTTTCCATTTAAAAAAGTATTATACTAGTAAGCGTGTTTGCGTTCAACTTTTCATAAAATAACAAGAATTATTATCGAAAAAAGGGGTTGCTAGATATTCCCTTCCATATAATCTTCAGAAAGTAATTCGAACAATAGTATGGAAAATAAATCAACTGTACTGAAATACCACTCACCTAACCAAAATTCACCGTCTAAAGATCCAAATCCTCTCTCATAAAATAACAAGAATTATTATCGAAAAAAGGGGTTGCTAGATATTCCCTTCCATATAATCTTCAGAAAGTAATGCGAACAATAGTATGGCAAATAAATCAACATGTACTTAAATACCACTCACCTAACCAAAATTCACCGTCTAAAGATCCAAATCCTCTCTCATAATCACTAAAGTTTCTATAGAAATCAACGCTGCCGTTGAATCGATATTGAAACACCTGATGAAATAAAAAATCAATGTACATGTAATAATAGTATTGTACCAGAAACTATTACAAAAATGACAACTTCAAAGCGAAACGTCATACCTTTGATAAATGTCTTGACAACACCGTCTATATGCATGTTCATTACATTTGTTGAAGTATATAAAAGTTTCTATATCGATATAAACGAGACATTTTATAATATTATACATGTGGCGCAGAGGAATTATTCAAAGGCTGATTAACCCCGTTGGTTCAAACCCCGCCTGGTGCAAGCCGTTCTTTCTTTGAACCAGAATTAGTCTATCATTACTGATTGCTGCCATAAAGCTTTCAACACAATCGAACTTACAAAACATTCTGTAATACTAATGATGTAAATTTTGACATGTTTTGAACATTCTAAAATCATTTTGTTTGAATGTACGCAGTATTGCTTTACACTGCGTCTTCGTTATCTTTCATTATTTATCAAAATTAGGAACAAATTGTTAAAGTATAACTTGTATCGACATACAAATGAAATATATATACACACTCACTAAGGGTGTTTTTAAATAATTTTGAAAGTGAAATCTCCTTATTGATATTTTCAGGAAAATAAAAGATCATTTACTCCAATATTCACTTGGAAAGAGTTGTAGATAGAAAAAAGTATAAGAGACGATTATCACAAACAACAGATTCTTGTATAATATTTGATGTATATTATAAATCAGACTGTTCTCCAAAAATTAATCATGAAAACACAATGATTTTTACCAGTGTCACCACGGGCCAGATTACCAGACCATTTCCCAGTGGCAAATATGCTTATTTTTTACAATTTTTAGAACAAAATCATAATTGAGTTGAAATTCACGTTATCAAAGCTGACAATTTTTCTCGATTTCATTCCAATACGATTGTGGTATCAGACAGGTGATGTCAAAACATTTAATTGCCAAATTTTAATGTCTTTGTTATGCTTTGAATGATATATAAATTTGTTGGGTAAATCAACTTTGCATAATTCAAAATACTCTGCTGGTACCAAATATTTTTCCCAATCAAGCGATTTTAAGATGCAGGATGTCCCAAACAGTGCTAGGATTTTTTTCCCAAAATGTCTAGGAAAAGGCTTGAAACTGAAATTGTTTAGTTTGCGTTTCAAATTTACATACTGAAATAGTCCAAGACTTGTTCATATATAGTACAGCCTAAAACAAAAGAGTGTCAGTACATGCCCACAGTTTATTATAGTGTTAGTTAAGAACATACTTCAAATATTTCTGTCAATTGGCAAAGCAGTCATTTTCCTTTGCTGAATATGATGACTTACATATAATATTTAGTATGGTGTTTCATACAGTTCATCCTTATGAACATTGTTTACATTTTGATTATTCAAAAGTGAAACAAATGATAACATTCAATAGTAAAGCACAGATGTGAATTGATCGTTTCTTCACAAAATAATTTAAATATGTGTAAACATGTTTTTAAATATGTTTTAAAAATGTTTCCCTACCCTTGATTGACAATATTTTTTGCTTATTGTGCCTCAATTGGTAAGATCTGCTTTACTGACAGGCTCTTTTTAAAATTTGCAGTGATTATCTTTTAAACATTCTTTTACCTTGTAGCTTTGATTTTATTAGGCTTAATAATGGTACCATATTGGTTATTAAAAATTGTATGCTGTCTGAACAAATACATTGAATGCTGTCTGAACCTATGTGACAGAAAAAATATCACAAAAAAGTAATTTAGTATTACTATGAGTATTTATTAAAGAAATTGTATTTTGAATATATTTAAATAGTGTTATAGAAAGCCATTTTGAATGACAGACACGCAAATATAGTGCTCTGCATTATAAATGTAAGTAAAGAAAAATAAGATAAGCATTTTTTGCAAATTATTGAACTTCATATAATTGTTAATGCACATTTTTAAGGTGGTCATGCACATATTTGTCACTCTCATACAAATGAAGATTAGCATCACAGTCTGAGGGAATCTCTAGTTTGTAGATGTAGTACATAATAGTGTGATCATAACTGCATAGGCTCAGTAAGTGTTGAACAATAAACACTTGGGACAAGTTGTGGACTATTTTATAGGGAAGTCCTAGTAAGCACTTCAGTTGAATCCCCTGTCAGTAGTCTAAGGCCAGCCAAGAAAATTGTGTTGACGAAAATGTTAAATCAAGCTGTTTCGGCTTCAAACAAAATCATCACCCTAGTCCAGCAGTAATAACATAATCAATGGTGATATTTTGATTGTAGAGACTAGAGAGTAGAAGTGCTGTGTCAAATAATCAAAATTCTACATAACTTAGTTGTTGAATTCTCTCCCTTTATATTATTATTCAGTTATTGAATTTTTGTTCCTAAATACCTTTGGTGCTTCTTTTTATGATGAATATTATGGTAACATTTGAAGGAATATTGCAGTAAATTATCTATAGATTTGATAACTTACTTTTTCACAAAAATAAAATAATTCATGGAATTTACAGCTTTACTTTATGAGAAAAATTGATGACATTTTTATCAAAACCAAAGTACTGCCTTGTAATGCAGTATCAGTACCACTTTTTAAGACAGTAATGCAGTATCAGTACCAGTAGTAGCAAACTTTTGTAAGAATAATTTAGTATCAGTACCAGTACTTGCAAAATCGCTGCAGTACCAGTACCAGTAATGCAGCTCTGGTCAGGGGAGCGATCGAGGGCCACCTTGGCCCTCTTATTTCATATTTTTGACTCCCTTTAAAATGTCATGTGTTAAAAAAAGTCGAGGGTGCAGTTTTCTCTAGCAGCACTTATTTCAGTTTTTGCTTTTGTCATTAAGGGCAATTTACAATTTGTGATGGACCTACATGTAACCTAAATATTATATTCGAACATGATGTCATAGAATAATTGATTCTACTACACTTCATTTCTGAATTGTGTACTGAATATTTATTAACCGGCATCATCCTTCACTTATTGTAGTATTTGCCCCCGAAATAGTAAAAAAATGTCATTTTGATCTAATGACAGTACGTCCTAACTGCAGTGCCTTCAGTACTTTGATTAAATAAAGCACTCGAAGAAGTCTGCAATTAATAAAACTAATTTTTCAAAGAAATACTATTATTAACGATTTAAGAGTGAAATTTAAAACTTTACTTGCCGCTATTTCTTAAATGTCCATTGCGACTTTTTGAAACATCAAATAGTTGATATTAAAGAAGCAACATACCGTCCAACCACCCTTATCTGTCTCCATGTCGCAGTATATTTCTTTTACAAGTTTAGATCTCCGTAAGGTGACGTTATAAACTCCACTTCCTCTAGCCAATCTTTTATAAAGTATATCGTAACAGTCTGTGGCATTCACTAAAATGTTCGGTAATTTTTGTTAACATTTGTGTCAGTAACTTGCAGCTACAAAGATGAACTTGTTGTCGTTTTCTGGTGTTTTTGATCGGGGGGTCATCAATTGAACACAACTTTTGGTAACATGGACATTGTTAAAATATACACAAGCAAACTGCTTCCTCAAGACAAGAGAACCAGTGGAATATTAACTATTTTTTATCTCCGTTAAGACTTGTATCAGCAATCAACAAAAAGAGTTCGCTATACACATCTTTCCTTTTTACTATCCAAATGCAATGAAGTATTAAAATGTATTACAGCTGGGTGGAGCACAATTAATTGTGTTTAGTTAGCAAAAACCAATTTAATTGTTTATCAACTGTAATAAAAGAAAACGTACGGAGGTCACAGTTTCTTCCAACATATCCTTCAAAACAGTTGCATTTGTAGTCGATAAAACCAGATACGCAGCTCCCATGATCGCACGGATTTGACATGCAGTAATAATACGCTAAAACAAAGGGAAAAAACAACAACAACAATGAATAAGAGAACACACTAAAGAAAATAACTAAACAAATTATAATTTGGATAAAAATAATCATTCCTTTAATAATTATTTAAGTCCCAGACTAATAATACTATAGTTTATTTTATCTACACATCTCTGGTGTTCTTATCTTTTAACATTTAAAGATGATTATATAGCAAACTGTTGAATTGTTTTCAATGGATTCGCCCACTGTTGCTACAAAATCATTGTTAAATAACTCAGTTTGTTAGGAACAATTAAAGAAAATTAATTGAATTACATACGATGTTAAAATACCGCGAAGGTTAACAATAAGTACTTACAACTAATGTCAGAATAATAATGCCAAGGAAATATTCAAAACCCATGATTTAATTTAACTACATACATATATTACAGTAACGTCCCTCATAACCATGGTCACAGTAACAAAGAAAATCATTAGAAACGTCATAACATTGACCGTGTACACATGGACTGGCCGAACAATAATTCGTCACTGTAAAAAAATGAACACATTCACAAAAATAAATGTCGGATAGATTGGTACCCTTTGAATGTTTTTACTAAAAAAATAATTAATGTATTTAACTTGGATATTCTGTTGCAAAGAAACAGTAAGAGGAATCTTATGTGCAAAATATTCTTTTATAATGTTCTTAATAGTTTGTATCTTAGAACTTAGCTTCCTTCACCAGTAAAGCTGGAACGTCGCAATATGGTCTATACTGGGTCGGTGTGACGTAATTTTACTTTCTCGTATTGTGTATTATAAGTATATTAGGTTTTTGTCTCGAAAAATCAAAACATTTACAACACAAAACCTAATTTAGACCAATTATGAATCATCAACTTAAAAGAAAAAACTAATCAGCAAAATGATTTGCTGAATATTCCAAATATTTCTATGCACATCTATAATTGCAATTGTCAAAGATAAAAAACATTTTTTAAACAATAACATATTATAATCATCAAAGTCACGAAATTTGTAAGTAAAATCATAACATGAAGCTCATAAGATTACTACCACAACTCCAACAACTACAGGATTTGTATTCTTGATCCTTTCTTAAATTTAAATTAGAATTTTATCGTAATGACATGTTCATGACATTATAGCATCTTACACCGTTATCGGTGATTTTGAGTCATTTTTTCACCCCAAGACGTTATGGCCCAGGCATACAAGCCCATTTTTTTGGAATTAGTTCAAATAAGTATTAACTTGTTATATGCCATAATGTTCGTAGTTTATAAATTGAAACAGTGTGGCCGATTCGGTTTGGGACAGAAACGTCCTGTTTGCTTGTCAAATGTCATACCGCAGACATTATTAGCACACGACTCCACCCTGTCATTTGATCCTACACAATAATGTCCGTATGGTGATGGAGAAGGATTCGAACATGACCTCGTTTGAGTCCTTATTCCTCCGCCACAAGTTGCACTGCATGAACTCCATGACGTCCAGTCACTCCAACCGCCGTCTGTAAGATATTTTTTAGATCTTTTTTAAAACAACTATTGAAAATTAATTATAAAACAACGATTCATTGATTAATAGTTTCTCACCTAACCGGTTTGTATCCCCATTATTGATTTACTAGAACGATTTCGAATCACATTATATGGCTTTGCTTTGCTATCTTTTGGAGTTATATATCGAAATAGTGTCCATCCGTACAAAATCATGCTCGGGATGACTTCGTAAAGATGAACAATGTTTCAATATCATTGAAAACTATTATAAATTCTCTTCTTATTAAGGTGGTTTAATATAATGTGTAAAATTGGATTATGAGGAAAAAACATTTTATTTGAGAATATATATTTATTTATTTTTTATTTTTTTTTTGTGCATCTAAATATATTTAGAATATGTGGAGTGGCATTTGGCTTCAGCATTTATGGCCTTTTTTATATTTAGTCAAACAATCTTTTTCGTGTACATGACTTCAATTGGCTTCACTCATACTCGGTTTATGCTGAAACAGATAAATTTTAGACTGATTGTTAGGATAAAATGATTAACGCATTTTTGTTGATCGAATTTGCTTCACTTATATTTGGTTTATGCTTAAAACATATTTTGACTTTGATATTGATCAGATATTATGTCAATTCAATACTTACTTGCACATGGTGAAGGCATACAAAGTTGTGTTTCAGATCTGTCTCCGAAACAATGATTTCCAGCGAGAATTGGCGGTGGATTAGAACATGTCCTCGTGCGACGTTGCAAGCCCATGCCACATGTTACTGAGCACGAGCCCCAATTTGACCAATCACTCCATCCGCCATGAACTTGAAATCAAAGGACAATGTGCTAATTTAAATTGAATAAAGCTGTATTAAACTAGCTTTTAACAAATAATTGATTGTTTTCATTGAAATTATTGTGCCAAAGAAAATGAATTGGAATGAATTGGAAAACAATGATGTATGATATTGAGTCTTATTTTAGACTACCTCGAGAATTGACAATACGGTAATGGAAAAAGCGAAAGAACAGTTTCTTTTAATAGTACGTATGCGTCATATACATGTTTATACCTATACTCAAAACTTAATAAATAATGATAAATGACTGATTTGCTCCCACTGATTTGTAACTGCGTCTCATTTATATTTTACTAATATTTCATTAGATCTATTTTGGAGGCTTACGGTTTCTATTCTATTTTCCTTATCATTTATTCAAAAAGGTATAAAGGACATCTATAATTAGTTTATATCGTAGAATTTAGCAAACTATTTGATGAGCTGTTTAACTAAGTAGTTTCAGAAAATTAAAAAAATTACATCGAAGACATTTTTATATTGCAAAAGAACTTAACGGTGTGACCCACAAAACAGTTGAATAGAAAAATAATCAATCATCATCTTTAAAGACAAAACAACTAATCAACAAAATGGCCATATTCCAAATATTTCTATGGACATCTATAATCTAACTACGTTAGACTATATAATAATCATACTCGTCAAAGCCACGAAATTTAAGCTCATAAAGATATCCAATCATAATTACACACAGCTTCAAAAATTGTGATCGTGCTTCATTCTTGAATATCAAATTTGTTTTTTAATGTCATAACATTTTCATGATATTGGAGCATTTTGCACCGTTATCAGTTATTTTAAGTCATTTTGACTTCAAGATGTTTCGGCCCCAGACATATCGGCTCCATTTTGTATTAGTGTAAATAAGTATAAACATGTTGTATGCCACAAACAAATTGTAGAATATAAGTAAAAAATAAATTTAGCATTGTGGCCGTTTGCTTGTTATTTATCTCCGTGGAATGTCATACCGCAGTTATTTTTAGCACACGACTCCACTCTGTCATTTGATCCTACACAATATTGTCCGTATGATGATGGGGAAGGATTCGAGCATGACCTGGTTTGAGACCTTATTCCTCCGCCACAAGTTGCACTGCATGAACTCCATGACGTCCAGTCACTCCAACCTCCGTCTGTAAAATATTTTGCCGATCTTATTTAAAGCAACTATTGAAAATTAATTATAAAACAACGATTTATAGATTTATAGTTTCTCACCTAACCGGTTTTTATCCCTATGATTGGTTTAATAGAACAATTACGAATCACACCATAAAGCTTTGTTTTACTATCTTTTGGAGTTGTATATCGAAATGCTCGGGATGACTTCGTAAGGATGAACAATGTTTCAATATCATTGAAAATTCTTTTCAATTCTCTTTTCATTTTGGTGGTTAATATAATGTGTAAAAATGGATTATGAGGAAAAACCATTTCATTTGAGAATATATAATTACTTTTGTTGTGTCGCATCTAAATATATTAGGAATGTTTGGAGTGTCATTTGGCTTCAACATTATTTGCCTTTTTTATATTTAGTCAAACAATCTTTTTCGTGTACATGACTTCAATTGGCTTCACTCACACTCGGTTTATGCTGAAACAGATAAATTTTAGACTGATTGTTAGGATAAAATGATTAACGCATTTTTGTTGATCGAATTTGCTTCACTTATATTTGGTTTATGCTTAAAACATATTTTGACTTTGATATTGATCAGATATTATGTCAATTCAATACTTACTTGCACATGGTGAAGGCATACAAAGTTGTGTTTCAGA